TCTTCAACACCCTTCTCCTTTTATAGGCGGACTCAGTTCTCCAGAACTTCCTGTCTTTTTGTTGTTCTGGTAAAACTTTGTATTTCATCATCTTTCTTTATCTTTGTCCTGCTATCCATTTAAATAAAATCGTTATATCTGTTACTTGCTATTGTTCCCCGTTGCTCTTGCTTTCGACGTAGCGATTTACAAAGTGTAACAGATATGGAGCACCCCATGGTGATCAAATTCGCTACTTATTCGTATAAAATCTAGCGAGACAAGTTTACAGAAAGTTAAATTACATGAGCATACTTCAAGCTTTCAGAGACAAGCAAACGATTTGATGGGATCTTCCTAAAATTTAAAAATTTAAAAAACAGTTTCACCCCCCCCCCAAAAAAAAAATTGACATAATTTAAAACGTGACGTAACTACATATCCCTGGTAAACGAAATTTAAATAAGCTTTAAATTTAAAATTTAAACAGAGCGTCTTCATGCGCGTTTTTTTTTTTTTAAATCACCATCTCAACGAAATGCAGATTTTATCGCAGTTACAATATGATAGACTTTGTAATTTACACCTGAAGATGAGCTTGGAGGAGATCGAAAGTACTTGGGTAGAAAAAAATTACGGCGTCTGTCTTGATGAATTTCAACTTAACATCAAGAAACTGATTAGAGATCTGGGAAGGATTAGTATAAATACAGATATAACATGTCTATATTTTTTAAACAAACATGTTTGAATATATATATATATATATATATATATATATATATATATATATATGTGTGTGTGTGTGTGTGTGTGTGTGTGTGATAAAACTTTGGGGGATTTGTATTCATATGACTCCTAAATAAGACGAAACAGTCGTCCAGTGCTTTCTGCATTCTGTTGAGGATTCGTCTAGATTCGATGAATTACTATAATGATTATTCTAATCCCCACCAAATTCTATCACTAGTATGTCCTTGCTTGACCCAGCTAATCCTCTGAGATAGAACGGCCAAGGGGAAAGAAAACGTTGCTCTTAGGGCACAACCCCTGGGATTATGAATACTTGGATGAGTATCACCACGGCACTATATCGAGTCTATTCAGTTTCTTCTTCGTCACCGAGGACTGTTGGTACAGTTGGTATGACGCTTGCGTTGTATCGAAACGATCCGTGTTCGATTCTCGGTTGTGGATGCACACTGCTGATGAGTCCCAAATAGGACGTACATTGCTTTCTGAATAGTTCTAGACTCGATGAATTACTATAATGATATACATATGTATATATATACACACACACACACTTAGAGATAAAGAGATCAGTTAGAAAAGATCATCCAGGCCTTTGGTAATGGTACTAACATTCATACTCCTGCTTCCATCTTCAAGTTCTATCCAAAAACCATCAATAGAACGGTGAATATGTTTGAAAAGAAGAGTCGAGCGGAAAATTGGATCAGGAGGTCACCACTGCAAGAGGGATCATCATTTCAACTTAGAGATAAAAAGATCAGTTAGAAAAGATCCAACTCAATTCATAAGACTC